TTTTGTGCTCCCTCCAGTAATCTTGGCAAAGCAGTAGTTCAAGGGAGGTGGGGAAGGGGAAGGGGTACAAGTAGTGTTAATAACAATGCGCTTGGACCAGGGGTAAAGTTTCCGGCAGAGCGGCCTCAGACCAGTAGTCAAACCCTCCTTCGTTCCGCGATCGGTTGATTGGTGTCACACATATCTGGGAGGGTAAGACACTGAACTGTTCGTCGCCTGTCCTGTGCATGTTTCTAAAGGGGCCATACACATTGTGGAATCTTCTACTATTTTGAATTCACTGTATGGCGCATCCCAGGTCAGGTGATGACCAACGCTGGATGTTCTATCCTTTCATTTTCTTCGGGGTGGCAATAACTACTCTATGGAAAAGGCGTAGGCTGGTCTGCATCCTGCTTACCGTACCCGACCGGTCGGTGAGTAGACAAGGCTGGTGCAGTATCTAATAATGTAAGGGTCAAAGACCGGCTCCCTCCTCGCCCGAAGCTCGTCACTTGGTACCAGACTCGTGTGGGAGGATGAAATATTCGGTTGTACATGGGTTGCCTCGCTTAAGCCATATCGCATTCGAGGGTCGGTCCAGTAAAAAATGAAAGGGGAGTGTGCGCCGCATCCTAAAAAGATGATCCTTCCACAATGGAAGCTTGATCTTTGAAACATATTGATGCAGTGAACTTTCACAAATTCTGCCGGCTGTCCCGGTGCTGGGTTGTTCTTCAGCGTAGTCGTCAAAATGAGCGGCGGTCACGAATTAGTCCCCGTGAAGAGTCGACACTAATAAGAATGTAGGGGGAGGGGGGCGGTGGTGGCGCACCCGTAAGCTTTTCTCGAATTGTGCCCTTGCCTCTGTTTTTCTATAGCCTTTTGACAATCGTATCTCGCCTTGCAATTCATGAAAACTCCTGTCGAGCACGCTGTGGGCTCCTTTCAAGGTTGATCAAATAGTACGAGCGTCATTGGAACACTCCTTTTTACCCAAATTCTTGATTAAGTCATTTGGATAAGTTTGCCAGGTGATGACAAGTCTTAAAGGGTGTCGACAAGCTTGTCCGTATACAGTCTGTAGGTATGTGCATATTTGCAGTTTAGAGGATTACGTATTTGGCAGCCGCCATGCTCACGATGCTTGCATCGCATGGAAATTGCTCTGCGCACTTTACATGAACATGGCGCAGGATGCGTTGTTCATGGGTTATTTCCATTTGATGCAAGTGTTACTTTGTGCAGTAATGGACAAAGTCATGGTTGTAACTGTTCTCAAAGCTGCAGTATCGCGTCAGAATAACAGCTGCTGCCATGTTTAAATGAAGTACGCGGCCGCAGACTCGCCGTCTGTCGGATATGGAGTGTACAGGTGCTGCCCACCCCAAGGCTATCAGCGCCCAAAAGGTATAGCCAAAACTGTGAGAAAAAGAGCCACTTTGGACATGTTCTTCTTGTTCCCGGAACTGCATATCTTTGCCGAGGACTCCCCAGCCCCTCGCGCAGTAAATGACATTGGAAACATTTTTCACTCAGCCGTTTTCAAGTTCCTTTTCAGCGTGCTCTCGAAACCACTATTACGAAGATTGAAACCGCTAAGGCATTGTCGACGTTTGACGTAAGTGACGGCAACGTTTAATATTTCTCAGCTTTAGCCTTGATCTTCTATAGTCTTGTTGATTTAGCATTTAGCGTATGCTACTGTTTTGTTCGTAATCGAAGACGAAAGCAAAGAAACCGCTGATATTCTAGTGTTGGCGAGAAGATTTTTAGATGCGAAATTTGGATATATCATAAAGGGGTGAGTGCTGACGAGTTTTTTTCATTTTTTTCGGTGGCTGATATCCCGAAATTGGTTCTCTTTTCTTGAATAACTGTCGTGATCCCTGCAAACGATAGTGCGCAAGAAACAGCACAGATTGTAGCGCAGTCAGGACGGGCTTTTTCCGCCAAGGATGCCATCCTGAGCTCGCCACAACTGGCTGGAAGATCAGCCCTGGCTGTGCTGCAAACCACACCGTCGTCACGCCGTATCGTTTACAGAGATCATGACGGCACGTACGAGGAGCGAAGTTGCTCCCCAGTAAACCTGACGCTTTCAGATCTGACATCGCCAAAGACTTCCCTTGTTACTTGTACATACACCGTACAGGTGAAAGACGGGTACCGTTAGAGGAGAAGAAGACTAGAAATGAAGTTGAAGACTTCATCAGGGTGAGTGGTGAGGTAGATTAGCAGTTAGGTAAGTTAGCAACAGAGTTGCACACTGATTTTAGCCCTCTTTGATCCGAGGGTCCAGTCTCTCACATCGCTTGATTTAGTAGGTGGTGTGAAGCAGGTGCTATACGTAAAGTCACATGCCACAGTGATGGTACGAGCGAAGCTAACTTACCATTCTGCCTGCCTCATGGGCCTCCCTTTCTTTCGATCGTCTTAGGGATCCCCTAATTAAGATGGCACAGTGGTATGCGGGTTACGTCCGTGGGACCAGAGTGGAATATTCCTTTGACCTTTACTTTGTTAATGCTGTTCTGCTCCTCAAAGTTTTCAGTGGGAAACTTTATTCAACGACCTAAGTTTCAAGCTTGATAATCTCCTTCAGAGGACTTGAGTGTTTGAGGTTAGGAGATGAACAAGAGAAAACAGGGGCTTATGGTGTTCGGACTGCTGCGATGGATCCTGGGATACACACGAATCGACCGAATCCAAACGTTTCGAGACTAGATTCCTGAATAAACCTACCAGAGAAGACCTCCCGGAATTGTATTCAAGTTAGATAGGTGCGATGGGAAGACAGCTTGAATTTGGACATGACTGCTGCTGGCCTGTCCGCGGCATAAAACGGGGACCGTTGGAGAGGTCTTCGAAGAAGCGAGAGCAGTTGAACAAGGAAGCTAGGAAGAAAAAAAAAGAATGGATTGAGTGATGCTTCCAGCGCCTCAGGGGCCAGTCAACCCCAGCACAACGTGTTCGGAGCTGCACACAGGGTACAGCATCGTGATGTGTGGAAATGGTAGTGTCAGTACGCCCCCCCCGCCCACCTGAAGGAAGGTCTCAGTACGACCCTCCCCCCCCCCTTCACCAACACCTGCCTACCAACTTCCCACATTTTCCAGTTTTTTCAACCAACCAGGGCGCATCATTGGTTGAGGATTCTATCTGGCTGTGCGACCCCACCCCTTTTTTGGGTTGGCACGATCCCCCCCCCCCTCCGGCCCTCCTCATCGAATCGAGCCGTCGAGCAGGGGGGGTAAATAGCACATGTGAAACAGGAAAAGCCGCGAGACAATACGACCCCCCCCTTCTACCAATTCTCAGATTTTCCCCAACTTCCTGCCCCTTTTTCCAAAATTTCCCGAAACTTCCCTACTTTTTCCCAAAAATTGTGCTTTTGCTCGAGCAGGGAGTTATAGTTATAGTCACGAATCAGGAAAATCACGAAAAGTCAACCACCACTCCCACCACTGCTAGAAAGGCCAGAAAGTAAATACGACCCCCCCCCTCTTCTGGGGCCAAATACGACCCCTCCCTGTTGGGGAATCCCCAACGATGTCCCAAAATTTCCCAGTGGGGGGAGGGGTAAGAGGAAAAATCACGAAAAATCAATAACCGGGAAAACTTTTTTCCCATTTCAGCAAATTTCTTTCAAAGGCACATACGACCCCCTCCCCCATGTGTTTCACACAACGATGCTGTACCCTGACTGCACAACACGAAGTGTACTCACCACAGTTCACCGCAAACCCGCTGTCATTATGGCTATCTCCTCTAAACCCGAACACCAAAAATGTAACTCTTTCCTTTGAAAGGTACACTGCACATCTGGAATGGAAAACATCGCTCTGTGCTCCACATCTCACGTCTGATGTTTACTATGTTTATGTTTTCTCGCCCGTCTGTCTTTGAACCATAAATGTTCTCTTTCTTCACTATTCACGTTTGAAAACAAAATTCCTGAAACACTGATCCAGGGTCCCGGTACTAGCCTGAGCCTAACCTGTGACGTTCCACAGCCGTGTTGACCCTAACTAGTTCGTTAGATTTCAAAAACTTTTCGTAGGGACGAAACGCTTGACTACAGATACTATGTTGGGATCGAAATTTGATTCTAGTATGCGAGGTTCTGCAACAGGGGGAATCCTTTCGTTGCTTGATAACAGCTTCAACCTGGTCTACAAAACAGTTAGAAGAAGTTTGATGGTTCAAAAACTCGTGAAAGGTGCATTCCACGCGGGAAGTGGCGAACCAGTGAGGAACGTACAAAGATGCGTCTTCACCTATACGAGCAGTGTGGTTTTACCCTTGAATTGCCAGTCACTGGGAACTTGATGTACACTTAACGATAAATGATTGATTTTTTACGATCTCAAGCTACTTCTTTTTCAGGTTCATACCCATCAGCCAGTATTTAATTTCCCCGTGGAAACTTACTCACTATCATGGCTTGACGAGAATCTTTATCTGTTTTACGCTCACAACCCTAAAGGATTAATGGGTGAGACACTGCGTTTTGCTTTCTTTGACATTTTCTAGACTACATATTAAGGAGGTGTCCTTCGACAATTCGGTGGGCGGGGGTATAACCGTATGGAAGTGGAATTTTTTGTTCTCGAAGGAGGCGCAGGCCAATAGTAGAGGAACGACGGTCTTGAGTCTCTGCCCAACC